CCTCAAACCCAGAACCGCACGAAGCCACGACCTCCTGGCTCTCCAGCCAGTTCTGGACACTCCTGGAATCTGGACCGTCCTAATGAGTCACCCAGGTCTCCTCAGGCCACTGAAGCTGAGTCATTCCCCTTCTCGGGGAGGGTCCCAGGTCCCAGCCTGCTTCTAGTTGGGAAGACTACAGAACCCCACGTATCAGGAAGCAGGGGACTGAAGCTGTCCAGGGAGAAACCCTGAGCGGGGGGCACAGGGACTGACACTCCACGAGGCCAAACCTGTCCAGTCCTCTGCCCTAGAGTCCCTAGACCCAGGCAGGATGTGGAAGGACCCCCCGTGGTGGAGCAGCCCAGACGGAGGGCTCGGGGCCTTGGCTGGAGTCCGTGCCGTCCTGCTCCCATTGGGCGGGTAGACAATATGCAGAGACTTCTGGAGAGCTGGACACACAGCCTGAAGACGAAAATACTGACCCGCCTTCCTCTCACTCAGCACCAGATTAAGGAAAGAAATGTGGCTCCAAGACTTTGTGGGCAAGAATGGACAGGGGACAGGTGCAGGGGCTCACACCTGTGATCCCCCACTTTGACAGGCCAAAGCAGGAGGATCACTTGAGCCCAGGAGTTCGAGACCAGTCTGAGCAACATAGTAAGACCCCCATTTCTACAAAAATAAAATTAGCTGAGCATGGTGGTGCACCCCTATAGTCTCAGCTACTCAGGAAGCTGAGGCAAGAGGATCCATTGAGCTCAGGAGTTCGAGACCAGCCTGGGCAACATGGTGAAACACTGTCTCTACAAAAAAATACAAAAGGCAGCCAGGCATAGTGGCATGTACCTGTGGTCCCACCTACTCAGGAGGCTGAGATGGGAGGATTGCTTGTGCCTAGGAGGTCAAGGCTGCAGTGAGTCATGGTCATACCACTGCACTCCAGCCTGGGTGACAGATTGAGACCCTGTCACAAAAAACAAAAAACAAAAAACAAAACAAAACAAAAAAAGGATGGCTCTGCCAGAGACTTCCTGGGCAGTCCGGCCTGGTACACAGCTCAAGACACCAACAGGAGGAGTGAGTGAGAACTGTGGCATGGGCCCAGGCAGCAGGGGACAGCCTGTTCTGATGACTGACCACTGTAGGAGTCACAGGGGGAACACCCAGGTGGTAGAATGAGTGGCCCCAGCTGGGCACAGTGAGTGGCTCATGCTTGTAATCTCAGCACTTTAGGAAGCTGAGGTGGGCAGATCACCTGAGGTCAGGAGTTCGAGACTAGTCTGGCCAACATGGTGGAACCCTGTCTCTACTTAAAAAAAATCAGCTGGGCGTGGTGACAGGCACCTGTAGCCCCGGTTACTCGGCAGGCTGAGGCAGAAGAATGACTTGAACACAGGAGGTGGAGGTTGCAGTGAGCTGAGATCACGCCATTGCACTCCAGCCTGGGCAACAAGAGCGAAACTCCATCTCAAAAAAAAAAAAAAAAAAAAAGGGCCGGGCGCGGTGGCTCAAGCCTGTAATCCCAGCACTTTGGGAGGCCGAGACAAGCGGATCACGAGGTCAGGAGGTCGAGACCATCCTGGGTAACACGGTGAAACCCCGTCTCTACTAAAAAAAAACAAAAAAACTAGCCGGGCGTGGTGGCGGGCACCTGTAGTCCCAGCTACTCGGGAGGCTGAGGCAGGAGAATGGCGTAAACCCGGGAGGCGGAGCTTGCAGTGAGCTGAGATCCGGCCACTGCACTCCAGCCTGGGTGACAGAGCGAGACTCCGTCTCAAAAAAAAAAAAAAAGAAGGTATGGCCCCGGCCTGGGGAGGCATACAGCTTAGATGGAACAGTAATGTCCACAAAGTAGAATAACCAAACACACAAGGCAACTAGGGCAAAAGGGCATGTCGCACAGCAGAAAGACAGAGCTAACTCAATGAGGCCACTTCCACAGGGAAGAGAAATACTGCACTTCTCGCGGGGTAGGCTTCCAGGTTGAGCAATCAGTACACCCAAGGACAAGGACAAGCCAGTTGTGTACAAGGGTCAGGAAAGAGACTTTGGCCTTGGACTCGGAAAGTGCCAGGGTTATGTAGGAGGCTGGCTGATGAGGGGACATTGTAGTCGGAGCAGCAGCTGGAGCCCACATGCGCCTACCATGAGCAGGTCCCTGCCCTCTGGCTCCAGACTGGGCACAATCTCTCCCAGTCCCTTCCTGGTCCACTTAGGGAAGTTGCCCTTATAGTCAGGCAGCTGGGTGACCCCGGGCCATGTGGCTTCGCTGGGTGTCCCCAGCATACGAAAGATACGAAAGAGCTGGTCAATCTCAGAGTCACCAGGAAACAGGGCTTTTCGAGTCACCTGAAATGGGGAAGAAGAGAAGGTGTGGGGTCTACCACTTTGTTGTACAGAATCCAATACCAGATAAGTGGCCAGACCCAGGGAGAGGCCTGTCAAGATATCTTTCCCATGGTTGTGCAAAGAATTCTGGCCTTTTTTTGGAAGAAGGCTACCTTCCTCAGTCCTTTAGCCAGTACCAAACAACTTTTTTTAAAAAATAGAGATGGAGTCTTGCTCTATAGCCCAGGCTAGAGTGCAGTGGTGCAATCACAGCTCACTGCAGCCTCAAGCACAGGCTCAAGCAATCCTCCTGCCTCAGGACTATAAGCATGCACCACCACACCCAGCTAATTTTTATATTTTTTTAAATGCTGGGGATTTGCTATGTTGCCCAGGCTGGTCTCAAACTCCTGGGCTCAAGCAATCCTCCCATCTCGGCTTCCCAAAGTGCTGGGATTACACGCGTGAGCCACCATGCCTCAAACACTCTTTAATCCACCTCTAATGGAAGCATCAGTGGGCCCCACCCAACCCCAGGAGGACCCTGCCTGTGGCACCCTGTGGCCATGTGTGCCCCTCTCTCTACCATCTCTGCAAAGATGCAACCAATGCTCCAGATATCCACAGCTGTGGTATAGAACTTGCTGCCCAAGAGAATCTCGGGGGCGCGATACCACAGTGTCACCACCTGCAGGGCAAGGAAACAGCATCACTCAGGGTGGCTGAGTGCATGGGTGACACTCCTCCTGCTGCCCCTCTCTCCTCTTTGTCTCACAATACCTCGTGGGTGTAGGTGCGCAGGGGCACCCCGAAGGCTCGAGCCAGGCCGAAGTCAGCCAGCTTGATGGCACCCAACTCATTGATGAGCAGATTCTGGGGCTTCAGGTCTCGGTGGATGACCCGATGTGAGTGACAGAAACTCACCCCCTGCAGCAACTGGAAGAGGTAGCTCTGGAGAAATGAGTGCGAGGTGGAGGCAGCTGAGTGGAGGCGCTGCGTGGACAGGGATGGCAGGGACGGGGTGTCACCTCTCCTTCCCCGCCCTTCCCTCCCTACCTTGATGAGGTGCAGGGGGAGCTCCGAGTCTGGGGTGGAGTCCATGTACTTCTTCAGGTCCTGGCTGAGGAACTCAAACACCAGATAAAGCTTCTTCTCGTTGTGCACCACGTCCAGCAGCCTGGCAGGAAGATGGCAGTCAGGATGCTACCTTCGCCATCCCAGCTTCCCCGCCTCCATCCCCAACTCACTGGACGATGTTGGGGTGCTTCAGTTCCTTGAGCAGGGAGATCTCCCTGATGGCAGTGCTTGGGACGCCCTCCATCTCCCTGCAAGAAACAAGGGCACACCCACGGGCAGAGACTTGGGCCAAGAAGGGCACTTCCGGCCAGGGGGATTGGCTTCTGCGTTCCTTATCCCCACAGAATTACCCAGGCCCCAGCAATGGAGACCTGTGCTCCTTGGCATGTCACCCACCAAGCTCCACAGAGCAGGGCCCCGGCGAAGGCTGGTCAGAAGACAGTGAGCTGGGGGAAGGATGGGGAAGGGCTGCCGGGCAGCACCCGGAGGAGTTAAGTGTGGACTCCAGGAAGGAGGGAACGGATCAGGGAGCGCCCAGGTTGTGATGGCCCAGGGCGGGTAACACAGGGGCGGTCCCAGCACTCACAAATCCAGTCTGATCTTCTTCAGGGCCACCAGCTGCCCTGTCTCCCTGTTCTTGGCCTTGTACACCACCCCGTAGGTGCCCTCTCCGATCTTCTCTACCTTCTGGAACACATCCATGGCCACGGAGCTGCCTGGGAAACAGAAGGCGCTGGGCCATTTGTGCCCCACGCCCAGCGCCCCTGTTGCTCCTCCAGCCTCCATGCGGCGCCCTGCCCAGCCCAGCCCAGCCCCGCCCCACCCAGGCTGCCCAGCTCCCAAGGCCTGCGGCCCAGCCACCCCGACCCCAGCTCATCCTGCCTGGGAACCTGGCTGGGGGTCAGAGACTGCCCCTCGCCCAGCCCAGCCCAAACCCCCAGGGGGTCGGGGGCCACCCCTCACCCAGCCCAGCTCAGCCAGGACCCCCAGGCTTCTCGCCTATGCCTGGCTTCTGAGGGCAGGACCCACACTCTCCCACCTGGCCCCCTGCCCAGCCCAACCAGATCCCCCAGGGGGTCAGGGGACACCCTTCACCCAGCCCAGCCCAGCCCAGCCCCTCCGAGTCAGAGGCCACCCCTCGCCCAGCCCAGCCTGGACCCCCAGGCCTCTCACTTGTGCCTGGCCTTAGCAAGACCACCCTCTCCCGCCCGGGTCCCCGCCCAGCCCGGTCAGGCCCAGGCTCTGGGGGCACAAGGTGGCCAGGAAGGGCTGCCCAGGGGCCAGGGCCACTGGGGGCAGAGGTCAGGGGTCGGGAGGGTCTTGAAGTCACAGTCCTGCCCTAGGCTACACGGTCAGGGCCCACGGCCTCGGGCCGGCCCAGCGCAGCCCGTGTGACGACGCTCAGTCTCCTCTGAAGGCAGAGCCTGACCAGGCGCAGACCCCTGCATCCTGGGCCCCCGACCTGGGCCCCCCAGCCCGGCCTCTGGGCCCCTGGCACCCTCCCCTGAGGCCCCAGGCCCAGAATTCACCAGAAGCCCTGAGAGGCTGCAGCCCACAGCCCTGGTTGCAGCTCCCCCTCCTGGCCCCCGCCGGCGCTGCACCACGAGCACACATCGAGGGCACGCCCCTTGGGCCTTTATTCACTAGGACCTTCTGGAACCCTCCATGGCCCCACACCAAGCACGGGCTGGCACCCGAGCTCAGCCACCTGCAGTCTCCCCGGGTGGGGCTGTCGGATTTACGGCATGCTTTCTGGGCTCTCATTGATGAGCTAATCCCAAAGTAGGGGAAGGGGCTGGATTCACCATCCGCCCCTCTGCTTTCGGCTCCAGACAAGGCTGTCGCTGGGGAGGCGTCTGCGCTCTCTGGGGCTCCCGCAGCTCCAGAGGGTTTGGCCTTGGAAGCAGGTGGGGGTGTTGCTGGGCTGCTGTTTCCTACTGGCCGCCGCCTCGCTCCTGCTGATACAGCCTCTGCTCCCGGATGGCTTGTTCCAACAAGGGCAGGTTCATCCCCTCCACGCAGGTCAGCACGCGCGCCTTCACCAGGGAGCCTCCGTCTGCAAGACAAACACCAGGGCACTAGCGGTGACTGAGGTGACTGCGCGGCGTGTCAATAACGTCCTCCAAAGTGCATTCCAGCTGTTCCCTCGACAGCTCAGTCCTGGGTTTTGGCAGCAAGCTGCGTGGACAATAACAACGGCATATGGGGCTAAGGCAATTGCGTACTTGGGCCTAGAACCGTGGGCCTGCCATGCACAGCAGGCCCGTGTCTGGAACTTAGCAGGGGCCAGAAAAGCCCTCTGGTCTGAGGAAAGGCCCCCTTGGCACCTTGGGACGCAATGTCATCAGAAACCAGGGGAAAAGAGACACCCATATTTTAAAAATCCAAGGGACTGAGCTTCTGGTAAGTTTGGCTTTATAGGAACAAGTCATCCCACCGTGGACGAGGGGGTCTAGCAGATGTGATGGTGACCTGATCCATAACGGAAAGGTTTGCCAATGTTCAGGTGGCACCAAACAGGAAAGATATCTGGGATTTGCCATAAGAGACTTTTTAAACATTTTCTTTCTTTTGCCAGATGAACTGGCTCACACCTGTAATCCTAGCACTTTGGGAGGCCGAGGCATGTGTAACACTTGAGGTCAGGAGTTAGACAAGCCTGGCCAACATGACGAAACCCCATCTCTACTAAAAATACAAAAATTAGCCACGTGTAGTGGTGCATGCCTATAGTCCCAGCTACTCATGAGGCTGAGGCAGGAGAATCGCTTGAACCCAGGAGGTGGAGGTTGCAGTGAGCCAAGATCACACCACTGCACTCCAGCCTGGGAGAGACAGCGAGACTCCACCTAAAAAAAAAATTTCTTTTTTTGAGACAGGGTGTTGCTCTGTCACTTGGGCTGGAGTGCAGTGGGTCAATCATGGCTCAGTATAGCCTCCACCTCCCAGGCTCAGGTGATCATCTCATCTTCCTCAGGAGCTGGGATTACAGGCACGCACCACCACACCTGGCTAACTTTTGTATTTCTTGTAGAGATGGGGTCTCGCCATGTTGCCCAGGCTGGTCTCAAACTCCTGGGATCAAGTGATCTGCCCGCCTCGGCCTCCCAATATGCGAGAATTATAGGTGTGAGCCACTGCACCTAGCTAACTTTTTTTTTTTCTATTTTCTCCAGTCACAGCTTGCAAGGGAAAAAAAAATTTAAAAAATTTTTGCACTCATGCTCTTTCTGCTCTCTGAGCATTTTAATAAATAGATTTCTGAGACGGGCAGATCGCCTGAGGTCAGGAGTTCGTGACCAGCCTGGCCAACACGGCAAAACCCCATCTCTACTAAAAATACCAAAATTAGCCAGGCGTGGTGGCTGGCACCTGTAAACCCAGCTACTCGGGAGACTGAGGCAGGAGAATCACTTGAACCTGGGAGGCAGAGGTTGCAGTGAGCTGAGATCAAGCCACTGCACTCCAGCCTGGGCGACAGAGTGAGACTCCCTCTCAAAATAAATAAATAGATTCAACGTTCTAGGCCATTACACTGTCTTCTTTTTATGCTGTTTTGAGATAAAGGCTGTGCCTGTCCTTTCCTCTAGTCTAGGTCATTTATAGCACAGCCTGAGGACAGAATCCAGGGTGTCATCCTGCCTAGATTCCAGCTGTCTACACAGGCTACCCTTAGACAATGAACTCATTTGAAACATGAGGTTGCCTGCGTGTCTCAGCTTCTGTTAGCCTAGTGCTGAACAGCAGAGCCTGCACAGGTTAGAGAGGAATCGGGGCCGGGTGCGGTGGCTCCCAACACTATAATCCCAACACTTTGGGAGGGCAAGACAGGTGGATCACTTGAGGCCAAGAGTTCAAGACCAGCCTGGCTAACATGCCAAAACCCTGTCTCTACTAAAAATACAAAAGTTACCCAGGCGTTGTGGTACACACCTGTAATCCCAACTACTTGGGAGACTGAGGCATGATAATCATTTGAACCAGGGAGGTGGATATTGCAGTGAGCCAAGATTGCGCCACTGCACTCCAGCCTGGGCAACAGAGCAAGACTCTTGTCTCAAAAAAAAAAAAAAAAAGGACAGGCGCAGTGGCTCATGTCTGTAATCCCAGCACACTGGGAGGCTGAGGTGGGCAGATCACCTGAGGTCAGGAGCTCAAGACCAGCCTGGCCAACACGGTGAAACCCTGTCTCTACTAATACAAAAATTAGCTGGGTGTGGTGGCACACTCCTGTAATCCCAGCTATTCGGGAGGCTGAGGCAGGAGACTCACTTGAACCTGGGAAGCAGAGGTTGCAGTGAGCGGAGATCATGCCACTGTACTCCCAGCCTGGGTGACAGAGCGAGACTCTGTCTCAAAAAAAAAAAAAAAAAAAAGATAAAGAACATGGAGTAAAGAAGGGCCTGGGTTATAAAAAGCAGTCAGAATGCAGTGGAGTGAGGCCTGGGGAGAGGAAGGCATTATACGGAGCACAGATGTTCTTTTAGGTTCGTCTGCAAAGGGAGGGAAGGTCATGGGCAGGCAGGTCGGACTCTAGTGTAGATGATGACTTCTTGTCGTTGAGATTATTATTTCCATATAGAGGAGGCTTGAGCGCCTTATATGTGGAGAGGGAAGAACTGTGGTAACCCTTTAGGTAGGAGGGACCCTGCTTCCTCTTAGACTAGAGGAAGGCGCTAACGGTGGCCATTTCAGTGTCTGACTGTAGGAGGAAGAACGGCTGCCTGTGGCCTCAATTCTAGCTGGGACATAAAGCAATAAGCTGGGAGGGACAGGGGAGGAGAGGAAGTGAGTTCTTATGAGGCAAGGGAATTTCTGGACTAGCTGTGGCGGCGCCTGGGAGGCGAGTGTGGCCAGGACACAGGAAGGATTTCTAGGCAGAGCAGGGAAACCTCAGTGAGCCCCTGAAATCATTGAGCTCCGAATCCTTGGAGCTCTGTGATCTTTCTGCACTCAACAGTTGGCAGGACCAGGAGGGTGGAGGCTGGGGTCTCAGGGCAGGAGTGAAGCTGCCAGGAAAGTGGCTGAAATGGTAGTGACCAGCGGGGAGAAGAGGTGGGGAAGAAAGTCCAGGAGTCCCGAGTCCACAGGTCCTGAAAGGGCAAGAGGGACGCAGCAGAAGTAGAAGGGAGAGCGGATGGCATGCAATTTCAGGAAAACAAGTCCAAGGTGCGGCAGCAGGCGTGGGAGGTGGAATTGGGGCAGAGGTGCTTGCTGGTGGAACTGGTTGGCAGCAGGGAGACAGGGAGGGATGTGAGATGCTGACACACCTGAGGAGCCGGGGAAACTCGGGCCCTGCTCCAGACTCTGTGGGTGTGTGGTTTGGGGAGGAAGGTTTGGGCAACTCCCGGAGCCATAAGGATGCTCGAAGAGGGAGGTGCACAGGGGACACACAGGAAGGTTTCCCTCCCTCCCTCCCTTTCTTTTCTCTTTTCTCTTTCTTTTCTTTCGTCTTTTTCTTTCTTTCTTTTTTTTTGGACAGGGTCTCACTCTGTCCCCCAGGCTGGAGTACAGTGGTACAGTCTCAGTTCACTGCAATCTCCACCTCCCTGGCTCAAGTGATCCTCCCACCTCAAGTTCCCCAGTAGCTGGGACTATAGGCTTGTGTGCAACAATACACCCTGCTAATTTTTGTATTTTTTGTAGAGATGGGGTTTCACCGTGTTACCCAGGCTGGTTATTATTATTATTTTTTTTTGAGATGGAGTTTTGCTCTTGTCGCCCAGGCTGGAGTGCAATGGCGTGATCTCAGCTCACCGCAACCTTTGCCTCCCAGTTTCAAGCGATTCTCCTGCCTCAGCCTCCCGAGTTGCCGGGATTACAGGCATGCGTCACCATGCTCAGCTAATTTTGTATTTTTTTAGAGACAGGGTTTCACCATGTTGGTCAGGCCGGTCTCGAACTCCTGACTTCAAGTGATCCACCCACCTCGGCCTCCCAAAGTGCTGGATTACAGGTGTGAGCCACCGCCGCTGGCCGTCCAGGCTGGTCTTGAACTCCTAGACTCAAGTAATCCACCTGCCTCAGTCTCCCAAAAGTTCTGGGATTACAGGCATGAGCCACTGTGCCCGGCCTCTTTTCTTTTTCTTTAGAAACAGGGTCTCATTTTGTCACCCAGGTTGGAGTGCAGTGGCATGATCATAGCATGATCATAGCTCACTGCAGCATCGAACTCCTGCCTCAAGCCATCCTCCTGCCTCAGGCTTCCAAGTAGCTGGGACTACAAGTACAAGCCACCACACCCCGCTAATATTTTCATTCTTGTAGAGATGGAGTCTCTCTGCGTCGCCCAAGTTGGTCTCAAAATCCTGGGTTCAAGTGATCCTCCCACCTCAGCCTCTGAACATGCTAGATTACTGAGCCCCTGAGCCCAGCCACACAGGAAGGTTTCTGACGGCAAGGTGCAGGGGTGCGGTGAGAGAAAAGCAGAAGGCAGAGGATGCATGGTGAGGGCTTGTGGGTAGATGCTTGCTGTGGTCCAGTGCCCTTCGGCCTGGGCGTGCTCCGAGCGCCTCTGGAGTAGGCCTGGGAAAGGCTGTGCCCCACACCTTAGCTCCAGAACAGGCGGCCCTCGGGCCTTTGGATGGCACCAGCAGGTGTCAGGTCTGTGGGTTTTATCACAGCCCAACACGTCTTCACCTGTCGGTCTTCTCAGCTAGTTCTTATGCACACATTTCTGAAAAGTGACCTCTCACCTGTCCTCAGAACCGTCAGTCTGGCCACAGGGCAGGATTCACATCTGATCAACCTTTGTGTCCCCACAGGACTTTGGGCCTGGCACAGGAAGGTTTATTGTTTTATTTCCATTTATTTATTACTATTTTGTAGAGGCAGGCGCTTGCTACATTTTCCAGGCTGGTCTTGAACTCCTGGGCTCAAGCGAGCCTCCCCCACTAGCCTCTCAAAGTGCTGGGATTACAGGTATGAGCCACCACACCTGCACTTTTTTTTCTTTTTTTTTTTTTGAACAGGGTCTCACCCTGTCATTCAGGCTAGAGTACAGTTGTGCAAGATCAGCTCACTGTAACCTTGAACTCCTGGACTCAAGCAATCCTGCCACCTCAGCCTCTCAAGTAACTGGGACGACAAGCATGTGCCACCACACCTGAATAATTTTTTAATTTTTGTAAAGATGGGGTCTCACTATGTTGCCCAGGCTGGTCTTGAACTCCTGACCTCAAGCAATCCTCCTTTCTTGGCATCCCAGAGTGCTGACAATATAGGCATGAGCCACCACACTTGGCTTTCACAGGGAGGTTTAAAGCAGCCACAGGGTGCCCCCTCTGCCCAGGCCAGAGGTCAGGGCAGACAGAGCACAGTCAGCCCAGATGCTCTCCTCCCACCTCCTCATTTTTGATTCCCAGTTCGCTCTGTGAATGACGAGCATGTATGACTTAGAAAATCAAGACAGGCCAGGCGCGGTGGCTCACGCTTGTAATCCCATTACTTTGGGAAGCCAAGGAAGGTGGATCATGAGGTCAGGAGCTCAAGACCAGCCTGGCCAAGATGGTGAAACCCTGTCTCTACTAAAAATACAAAAATTAGCCAGGCGCAGTGGCAGGCGCCTGTAATCCCAGCTACTCAGGAGGCCGAGGCAGGAGAATCGCTTGAACCTGAGAGGTGGAGGTTGCTGTGAGCTGAGATCACGCCACTGCACTCCAGCCTGGGCGACAGAGTGAAACACTGAGACTCCGTCTCCAGAAAAAAAAAAGAAAATCAAGACAAAATTTTTTTCTTTTTTTGAGACGGAGTTTTGCTCTTGTTGCCCAGGCTGGAGTGTAATGGCATGATCTCCGCTCACAGGAACCTCCACCTCCCGGGTTCAAGTGATTCTCCTGCCTCAGCCTCCCGAGGAGCTAGGTTTACAGGTATGCACCACCACGCCCAGCTAATTTTGTATTTTTAGTAGAGGCGGGGTTTCTCCACGTTGGTCAGGCTGGTCTTGTCCTCCTGACCTCAGGTGATCCTCCTGACCTCAGCCTCCCAAAGTGCTGGGATTACAAGTGTGAGCCACCACGCCCCGCGACTAAAATGTTTTAAGAAAAAAAAAACCCACAAAAAACAGGTTGTGATGCAAATTATAAGAGTAGCAGTAAACTAGCCAGTGCCTAGTAACAGGCTACTTCCTCTGAGGCCTGATTAGCTTCAGGTTCAATTTTTTTGGCAAGAACCCACCAGAGGTGGTGCTATTGTGTCTTCCTCTTGCCTCACATCGGAGGTACATGATGTTTGCCCTTCTGATTTTTATCACGTTGACATTGATCAGGCTGGCCCAGGCACTGCCAGCGGGTCCCTCCATCACAATGATCCCATCAAAATGTTTCCTAATGATTTTGGCCACTAGTGAGGACTGTTGCCTGGATTTTTTATTTTGTCAGGGCTTTTAAAGTGATGACTTTGAATTCGCATATTTCTCCTGCGTTCATTCGCTGTGACTCTTCTCTAAAGAACTTTCCAGGCCGGGTGCGGTGGCTCACACCTGTAATCCCAGCATTTTGGGAGGCTGAGGCAGGCAGATCACAAGGTCAAGAGATCAAGACCAACCTGGCCAACATGGTGAAACCCCGTCTCTACTAAAATTACAAAAATTAGCCGGGCATGGTGGCACACCTGTAGTCCCAGCTACTCGGGAAGTTGAGGCAGGAGAATTGCTTGAGCCCGGGAGGCAGAGGTTGCAGTGAGCTGAGATCATGCCACTACACTCCAGCCTGGCGAGAGAGCGACACTCCATCTCAAAAATAAAGAACTTTCTTTCATCAACCATTTGGTTTCCACTACAGGCAATCCATACAGAAATGGCAGAATAGGGCCTGGTGCCAAGATCACGCCACTGCACTCAGCCTGGACAGCAGACCAAGACTCTGTCTCAAGAAAAAAAAAAACAAAAAAAAAACCAGCAATAAGAATCAGAAGCAGGCAGGGCTACTCGGGAGGCTGAGACAGCAGAATCACTTGATCCAGGGAGTTGGAGGTTGCAGGGGGCTGAGATCGCACCACTGCACTCCAGTCTGGCGACAGAGAAAGGCACTGTCTAAAAAAAAAAAAAACGGTGGCTCATGCCTGTAATCCCAACACTTTGGGAAGCTGAGGTGGGCGGATCACGAGGTCAGGAGATCGAGAGACCATCCTGGCTAACACTGTGAAACACCGTCTCTACTAAAAATACAAAAAATTAGCCGGGTGTGGTGGCGGGCGGCTGTAGTCCCAGCTACTCAGGAGGCTGAGGCAGGAAAATGCCGTGAACCTGGGAGGCGGAGCTTGAAGTGAGCGGAGATTGCACCTCTGTACTCCAGCCTGAGCAACAGAGCGAGACTCCGTCTCAAAAAAAAAAAAAGGAATCAGAAGTAAGGCTGGGTTTGGTGCTGCACGCCTATAATCCCAGCATTTTGGGAGGCCAATGAAGGCAGATCCCTCGTCCCAAGATAATGACACCTTGTCTCTACAGAAAATTTAAAAAGTAGCTGAGTGTGGTGGTGCATGCCTGTGGTCCCAGCTACTCAGGAGGCTGAGGTGGGAACCTCATGAGTCCAGGAGGTGGAGGTTGCAGTGAGCTGTGATCATACCATTGCACTCCAGCCTGGGTGACAGAGAGACATCTTGTCTCAAAAAAATAAAAAAAAAATGTTTTTTAAGACTCAGATTGGCCGGGCGCGGTGGCTCAAGCCTGTAATCCCAGCACTTTGGGAGGCCGAGACGGGCGGATCACGAGGTCAGGAGATTGAGACCATCCTGGCTAACCTGGTGAAACCCCGTCTCTACTAAAAAATACAAAAAACTAGCCGGGCGAAGTGGCGGGCGCCTGTAGTCCCAGCTACTCGGGAGGCTGAGGCAGGAGAATGGCGTAAACCCGGGAGGCGGAGCTTGCAGTGAGCTGAGATCCGGCCACTGCACTCCAGCCTGGGCGACAGAGCAAGACTCCGTCTCAAAAAAAAAAAAAAAAAAAAAAAAAAAAAAAAAAAAGACTCAGATTAAGAGCTGACAGACAAATTCAAAAAGATCTAAGCAAACTGCCTCGCCTCAGACCTGGTGCATTAGGCCTTGAGAAATTAGTGGTTTCTCTCTCTTCGTTCTCGCTTCCCCATGGGGGACCATCTCTTCACTGTATCTGTCTTTTTTTTTTGAGATGGAGTCTCACTCTGTCATCCAGGCTGGAGTGCAATGGAACGATCTGGGCTCACTGCAACCTCTACCTCCCTGGTTCAAGTGATTCTCCTACCTCAGTCTCCTGAGTAGCTGGGACTACAGGCACATGCCACCATGCCCAGCTAAGTTTTGTACTTTTAGTAGGGACGGGGTTTCGCCATGTTGGCTAGGCTGGTCTCGAACTCCTGACCAGCCACCCTGTCTTTGAGTTGGCACCATGTGGCCAGTCCACTCTGAATTGAATCCTCAAGAGTCCTTGAACTTGTGGGCTGATTTGGAAGAAACATTAACCCCGATGAGACACTGCTGTCGGGTCACGAGCCCATTCCTCACTGACTGCCCCAAAGACTGCCCCAGCTCAGGCCCCAGGAGGAGAAAGGGGGTGTGAGGCCGCAGCTCACCCTGCTGGTGCTGGAGCTCCCCAAGGACAATGTACAGGGAGCCCACCTGGGCGTGGAAGGGCTCCACCAACTTGGTACAGACAAGAACCTGGTGTTGATCAGATCCGTGCTGAGCCATCAGTGTTACTCTGGACTGGATCATGTCATAGAGGCACAACCTGGAAGGCAGAGGAAATGCAATAATTTCCAACCATATGTAGAATCACCACCACGTGCAAAAGGTTTGCACGGCCAAGAAATCTATAGAAGAGTGTTCAGCCTCAGTCTCATCAGAGAAATGCAAATTGCAGCAACAAACCAGAAAAAAAATTTTCAGTCTACATTGTAGAATGTAAAGGAATTCCTTTTAATTTTCATCCCCTTGCCTTTAATTTTCTTTTTTTTT